GTCCACGGCACATAATGTCCGCTTTGGCCCAACACACTTCATAGCTTTATCCTTAGGCTATGTCAAATCGAGCCCAAAATCATGAGTACTAAGTTGTTCTTTGTCATATACATCCTAGGGTCCCCCCCCCTCCCCCGTTCCGATATGAGATTCGCCTTAAGTATCATGTGCACCCATTGTTCAAAAATCTACCAACCTAAAAGCCTATCTTTATCCGTCCTCATCAGCTCCCTCTCTTAAGTCACAACATGTCATGAGGAATTCAATATTTGCATAATTTATCATCCTCACTATTAGGTGACTAATACATTGGTTAAACACCCATGACCCAGGAATTGTAGGAACCGAAAAGAACCGGTTCTTTTTCGGAAACTTCCTATGAACTCATAATCCATGATTCAGGTATAGTATGTCTATGAGGAACTAGGAAAACGAGTTTCTCCAAAGTAACTTCCTATGTATTCGCAACAACACAAATGACCTAGGTATATTATGCCAACAAGGAACAAAAAAAGGGGTCTTTTCCACCGTACCTTCCGACAACGGCAGCAAGGGTCTTGACATATGCATTAATCATTTCCTCCTCCGAGGGTTTAGGGTCAGGAAACTCTAACACAATCAGCCAATGCTCATAGTCACATCCATCCAGAAGTATCGTCTCCTTCGGCGGCCGGTTGCTCCAGTTCGGTGAAGGATCATTTAGGGGCGAGTAACCCGACCCGGATGACTTGGGACGAGTGGGAAAGAATTGCTCTGATGATGGGAAGTACTGGGGATTGAAGAAAAGGGGAAGAGCAAAACGAAATCGAGATAATGATGATGATGAAGAGGGTGAAGAGAGTACACGGTATATGCTGGAAGCTAATGTGCGCCTGGTGGCGAACAGCGCCATTGGATTTGGAGGTCTCTGAAAATGAGAAGAAACTCTCAAATTGGGAGAAGTTTGGCCTTGAGTTGGAGCTAATAAGGTTTATCGAGGGTTTAAACTTTAAAGCCTCTGGCTGCAGTAACGATGTCGTTCTACCAAGAATTTTCTGCATTGAAATTGGTACTCAGACATTTTTTTTTCTTTTTTTCTTTTTTTCAGTTTTTAGATTACAGGCTAACTTTTTGGTAACCTTTTACTGCGGACAGATAAAGGGTTTTACTTAATTCTATCTACTTGTTATTTTATGTAATATATTTTCTATTTAAAAAATAAAAATGAATCAAAGAGATGTATCGAATTTAAATTTAATAGGTTCAACTATTATTACTATTGACCATGTAACTTTCATGCTACATCTACCACTAAAATGTCACGACCCCAATTTCTCACCTTAGGATGTTGTGATGGCAGAGACTAGGTAAGCCTAACATTTAATAATAACTTAACAGAAATAATCAACAGAAGTACTAAAGCGAGACTAATAAACTAATTCAAAACTTTCAAAATAGGATCTCAACAACACTCTTTCTAAAACCAGTGGAACTGAGTCATAAGCTCTACAGAATAATCTAGAATGTTACTACAACACTGTCTGAATAAGAAAAAAACAATAAAATTATAAGGAAGGTGACTCCGAGACCTGCAGACGCCGAGCAAGTATACCTTGAAGTCTCTGGAAGGCAGCTAACAGTCAATCACTAACGTCCAGGACGAGCATACGTATATGGATCTGCACAAAAATATGTGTAGAGACGTAGTATGAGTACACCACAACGGTACCCAGTAAATATCAAGTCTAACCTCGGTAAAGTAGTGACGAGACCAGGTAAAGACACCTACTAGGACAAGAAAAACAAAATAGAAATATAATAACTAGATATAATGGAAAACGGAGAGATGAATAATTACGAAGCAATCTAATAATGTAAAGTAATGGCAGAATTGTAAGTATAAAGACAACAATAAGGAAGCAATGAATGGGAACCACAATAGTCAAATACAGAATAAACTTATAAAATAAGGAAGAATAAAAGCAACAAGAACAGTTCAACCAATAACTCTTTCCAACATGGGATGCACCACAAGAATCACAACCGAGGTATCGCCTCGTATACAACAAGAATCACAACCGAGGTATCGTCTCATATTCATATTTCTCAATTTCAATCATAATCTTTTCTTATACCGCCGCGTGAGCCTTACATATAGATAGTTTTGAAAACATATTTTTTCCAAAATAGCTACACGCATTTTAGCCCACCTTATGACGCCGCGTAGCTTCAAGTAATTCCCTTACTAGCAACACGCACATAAATCTCTCCTTATGCCGTCGCATGCACATTAACTCTGATCCTTATACCGCCGCATGTGCATCAATATCACAACACAATAACAACTCGCACCATAAGTGTATATATGCCACAACTTGCCAAAAATCAACAATATCAATATTTCCACAACAATAGCACATGGCTCAACCACAATGTGTACAAAAATATCAACAATAACAATAAATGTGAATTGCTCAATAAGGAAGATATCTCAACAATTAACAACTTCGTCTCAATGTGATAACGGCTTTCACAATTTCAACACAAATAACTTAACAAGAAGATATTTCACGAAATAATAACTTCCATTATAAGTAATTCAACAATTAAAGGTGTAACGAGGCAATATGGAAGACAATAACTTCAACTAAACATATAAGAGCAAAATAACAAGTAAGAGGTAGAACAAGTGTTAACAAAGTCAAATACGACATGTAAGGATAGACTAACACATGTAATAATAGATTAAAAATGAGAATTAACACATTATATGATAATTCAATTAAAGCATGGAAAGAGTCTAAATAACCTAAACAGGTCAAATACCACATATAACCCGTGTACCCACTCATCACCTTGCGTACACAGCTTTCACATAACACAAATAGCACAATCAATCCCAATTTCTAAGGTGGGTAGTTCCCCCATATAAAGTTAAGCAAGATACTTACCTCAACTAGGCCAACTCAACCCTCAGAAATAGCTTTTCCCTTAAAATTCAGCTCCACACGGCTCAAATCTAACCAAAATTAACTTAATATCATCAAACAACCCAAGAAAAAATAATTACAATAGATAAAGCTATGATCTTTACACTTTTTTAAAAAGTCAAAAAAAGTTAACCCGGGGCTCGCTCGGTAAAAATCCAGGCCCAAAGTTAGATTCCGACTACCCATAACTCCACGAGTCCTTATATGTGATTAGTTTCAAAATCTGAGTACTCAAATTCTCATTTTTCAAAAACTTGACAAAATTTCACCATTTTTCCTCTTTGATTCATATAAATTTGACGTTAAATGTGAGATATAATCATGAAATATAGTTGAAATTAATTAGAATCACTTACCCAAAGTTTGTAGATGAAAATCTCCTCTCCAAATCGCTTCCTACCGAGTCTAGGGTTCTAAAATGTGAGAAATGAGACTAAATCCCGACTTTTCTAACCTTTTGTTCAGTTGCAGATGTCGCAATTGTGACACTGGTTTTGCAATTGCAAAGAATGCCTCGCAATTGCGGCAACTGCCCAGCCTACATGGACTTCGCAAATACGACAAATGGGTTAGCAAATGCGAACCTTGTCCCTTTGCAAATGCGACAAATTAATCGCAAATGCAAACTACCCAGCTCAAGCCTAATCTTCGTAGATGCAAACAAGGTGTCGCAATTGCGATACCTGAGACCCCCCTGCTATGTTCGCAAATGCGAGGCTGGTGCTTGCAATTGCGACATCAGAGTACCAACACACTAGATATTCCTGTTTCCGTTCAAAACATCCCGCGACACGTCCGATACTCATCCGAACCCTCGGGGCTCCAAACAAAATATTCACACAAGTCTAAAAATATTATACGTACTCACTCGCTCAATCAAAATACAAAAATAACATCTAGAACTGCGAATCAGACACCAAAACGCATGAATTTCAAAGTAAATTTCAAGAACTTCTAGATTTGCAACTGAATCCTATCAAATCAACTCGAAACGATACCAAATTTTGCAGACAAGTTCTAAATAGCATAACAGATCTATTCCAAGTCCCAAAACCAAATTCCGAACGCAATAGCCAAAAAGTCAACCTACGGTCAAACTTCTAAACTTTAAATTATCAATTTTCGGCAAAACAATACAAATCAACCTACGGACTTCTGAATACGATTCCGGGCATATGCCCAAGTCCAAAATCACAATACAAAGCTATCGGAGCCATAAAACACCATTCCGGGGCCATCTTCACAAAAGCCAACCATTGGTCAACATAAACAACTTAGGCTTTTAAGCCAAGAATTAAAGGGTCCAAATCAACCCGAAATCTTTTTGGACGAAACCGATCAACTCCGTAAGTCATAAGACTATAAATACACGTGAGTGAAGCATCAAAAGGGCAAACGGGATGTAATTACACAAAACGACCGGTCTGGTCGATACATTCTCTCCCTCTTAAAACAAATGTTCATCCTCGAACGTGCATAAAGACATACCTGAAGTAATGAAAAGGTAAGGATAATGACTCCGCATGTCATGCTCGGTCTCCCAAGTCACCTCCTCGACCGGATGACCCCTCCATTGAACCTTCACTGAAGCAATGTTCTTTGATCTCTTTCCGAACCTGTCTAGCCAAGATAGTCACCGGCTCCTCAATATAAGTCAAATCCTTGTCCAATTGGACTGAGCTGAAGTCTAATACATGAGACATATCACCATACTCCTTCCGGAGCATAAAAGCATGGAACACCAGATGAACTGCAGATAAGCTTTGTGGCAATGCAAGCTTGTAGGACACCTCATCAACTCTCTCAAGGATCTCAAAACGTCTGATATACCTAGGGCTCAACTTGCCCTTCTTCCCGAACCTCATCACACCCTTCATGGCTAAAACTCGGAGAAAAACTCGCTCTCCAACCATAAATGCTACATCACGAACCTTCCGATCAGCATAACTCTTATGTCTAGACTGAACTATACGAAACCGATCCTGAATCAACTTGAATTTCTCCAAGGCATCTCGAACCAAATCTGTGCCTAACAACCTAGCCTCTCCCGGCTCAAACTAACCAACTAGATAGCAACAATGTCTCCCATATATGGCCTCATAAGGAGCCATCTGAATGCTTGATTGGTAGCTGTTGTTGTAGGTAATACTACAAGCGGAAAGAACTGATCCCAAGAACCCCCGAAATTCATAACACATGCACGAAGCATATCCTCCAATATCTGAATGGTGCGCTGAGACTGCCCGTCTATCTGGGGGTGAAATGTTGTACTCAACTCAACCCGTGTGCCTAATTCATGTTGCACAGCTCTCCATAAACGCGGTGTGAACTATATACCTTAATCGAAAATAATAGATACTAGCACACTTGAAGTAGAACAATCTCGCGAATATAGATCTAAGCTAGCTGCTCTGAAGAATAGGTGGTCACTACCGAAATGAAATGAGCCGACTTGGTCAATCTATCCATAATTACCCATGCTGCGTCAAATTTCTTCTGAATCTGAGGGAGCCCAACAACGAAGTCCATGACACGCTCCCATTTTCACTCGGGAATCTAAAGTCTCTAAAGCAAATCGCCCGGCCTCTAATGCTCATACTTTACTTGCTGACAATTTAGGCACCGAGCCACATACTCCAATATATCTTTCTTCATTATCCTCCACCAATAGTGCTGTCTCAAATCCTGATGCATCTTAGCGGCACTCGGATGAATGGAGTACCACAAACTATGGGCCTCCTCAAGGATCATCTCACGCAACCCATTCACATTGGGCACACATAATCGGTCCTGCATCCGCAACACACCATCATTTGCAATAGAAACCTCCTTGGCATTGCCGTGCTATAATGTTTCCTTAAGGACAAGCAAATGGGGTTGTCATACTAACTCTCTCTGATGCGATCATATAAAGAAGACCAAGAAACCATGTAAGCAAGAACCTGTCTGGGCTCCGAAACATCCAATCTAACAAACTGATTAGCCAAGGCTTGAACATCCAGGGCTAGTGGCCTC